ACCTAGTATAATCCTACTTTTAAATATATATATTTGATACATATAATATATATTTAAATATAAATAATTTATATTATTATATATAATAGAAATTATAAATTTAAATGTCTCTGCATGTGCCTAACCAATGGGAGGTGAGCAGGTGGCCTGTCCTCTGGACCCTCCCCTCTTGCTTGAATACATTCTTTTCCCCCAACTCCCTGCATGTAGCTCACCTTGGGGCTCCTTCTCTTTCTACATCCAGTGGCAAGCACAGAACGTTCCACCAGCATGTCCCTGCATCCGTTCTCTTCTTCAGAGCCTGCTGGCTGATTTTCTCTGGAATGCACAGAGTTTTCAAAAACAGTATTTATTCCCTACTTTAAGCCCAGCACGGAAATCAGAAACAGGATGTCAAAAAATACAAAGAGCTCAGGTTGCAATGCTACTGGAATGCAAAACCAGGAAACTTCCTTTCTTCTCTGGAGAGGTCGTAATGGGATGGCCGGAAATTAACTTGGGCTTTTCTGGGGCATGGGAAAGAGGAGAGAGAAGCACAAATACGGCCCATTGGGACCACTCTGCTTGGAAAGCTGCTACTTCGCTGAATGATGACATGTGGACTTGGGCCATTCCTGTGATATTGGGCCACAAATTCTGGGAGGCCATAGACATGAGGAGGAGGAAGAGAGGAAGTTTGGGGATTTTAGGGTTCATATTTCCCATGTTTAAAATGAATAGATCCAACCACGGGACAGTGGTTCTCACCTACGGGTGATTTTGCCCCCAACCTGTGATGTTTTCAGTTGTCGTAACTAGGGGGTAAGGAGAAGGCTACTGGCATCTAACGGGTACAGGCTAGGATGCTGCTCCACATCCTACAATGCCCGGGATGCATTGCCCAGCCAAATGCCAATCAGGCCAAGGTTGAAATCACCTACTCTAAGACATCTTGAACTTTCCTACTGAATCAACCCTTTCAGGAGAGAGCAGTGGAAAGAGAATACACCTTCAGTGTTTTGAGGTTATAAAAATGATATTACTTCAAAGTATTTTATCTGAAAATTTCAAAATATTACATTATACCCCAATCCACGTTTCATTCATTTGTTCATTCACTCACTCAATTAGTAGTTACTGAGCATCTATTATGTGCCATGCTTGTACTGGGCTTTTCTTTGGCTTTGTTATAATATGTGTCCTTTATTATTCAGGTGTTGGTGGAAACATCACATCCTCAGAGAACCTTCCCTGGGACAATCCCATCCGCGGCAGCCACTACCTACTTGTCACTGTAAGTCTCTTGAGCAATTTCAGCTTGGTGCGTACACAATTCATGATCATTTTAGTTCATATCTGTCTCCTTGATGGTCTGCAGTTTCTATGAGGGGAGAGCCCAGGCTTGTCTATTTGTAGACATAGTCCCCAGCTCTAGGCTAAAAGCTTTAAATGCATGATCTTTCTATGATCCCCATTTTACAGGTAAGAAAACTGAGGCAGAGTTCATTCATAATTTGCCAAATGAATGAATAACTATCAGCCCCCACCCCTTCCCTCAGAATATGTGCTGTATTCGTGCTCTACCTTACCTGCAGCTTGTATACTGGCCAGTTTTATATTCCTGGGGGTCATGACCTCATTTGAGGGGCGTAGGGAAATAAGCACTCTATTGGGACCAAATACAGGTCTGCAGCTTCCTCCCAAGACAAACTGATCTTGGGTAAGTCAAATCCTCGTTCTGAGCCTCAGTGCACTTGTGTTCCAAACATACACATATTTTCTAAAAAGTAGAATTGTACTAGGTCCGCTGTTTAATCTGTGTCCCTTAGAACATTGATTCTAAGCAACGTTACTAGATTTTCAAGCAGAAAAATGATGGCATGTCCCTGGTCAAGTACTTGTGGGAAATGTTCTAAATAATGATAGATTTTCTTTAACACAGGACTTGTCAGAGCCTTCATATGCTACCAAACAATGTGAATGCCCAGGAGGAAATATGTCCTTTTCATTGTTTTCCAAACATATCTGCTCAAGGAAATGAATTTCTGTGAAGCACATTGAAGGATTTGAGTTGCTCACATACCTTGGGCAATGCTGCATGGCACAATAGCCACCTTCACTCTGATACTCAGAATCTCTACTGTGACTTCAGGGTGGTGGGCAGCTGTTGTTCTCAGCTCTGCAGCTGGCATTTGTGTCCAGATACTCTTGCTACAGTCTCCTCTTCTGCCTTGGCTCAACCCCTAACCCTGGGAGAGAGACATGTGCCTAGCCAATGGGAGAAAAGCAAGTGGCCTGTCCCTGGGAACCTCTCCTCTAGGCTGTCCACTCTCCTCTCTCAACGGTCAGTAAGATGCTAAGATCCAGTGAGGCATTCCAAAGCCTTGGGAACAATAAGCTACCGGGTGGAAAGAATCTAGACCTCTGAAAGCTGCCCCACCCCCTGATTGGACCAAGACAGGAGCGAGAAGTAAGCCTGCTCTTGCATGAAGCTGCTGAGATCTGGGACTCATTCGTGATGGCAGTTAGCCAAGGCTGAATTCTGGGGCTTATTCAGAGAAAACTGAGTCCCACTCAGCCCCTACCACAAGGCTGTTAAACAACGGGAGGATGAATAGGTGACCTCTTTTGTTTTCCACGCCTCATGTCTCAGATCACAAGGCCACTGCTCACATGATCAGATGCCTTGTGTTTCCCAGTGTCAGTAACTAGAGGCAATGAAAGCCACCTGAAGAGGACATAACACTGTCTCCAAGGCAGCAGAGCCTTTAATAATGATAACTGATGCTCAGAGAGCCACTCTCCTACCTTTCTTCAAAAAGAGAAGGTATCAAAAGAGAAGAAAAAAATAATCCCAGTAATCTGTGCCCTCTTGGCAAGCACAGCCCCAGCTTCCGATGGGCATCGTCAGTTTCCCTGGGATGGAGTCTCTCTTGATACCTGTCAAGAGACTGGTACATCCCACCTGCCAGTAGTTAAGATGCTGACAGCTCTTGCTGGCCAGGTGTGGGAGCAGTGAATTGTGCAGGCCCAGGTCTCTGCCGGCCACCTGGTACTGGGTTGCTGCGCACCTGGTGCTGCTGGGTATTGCAGAGACCATGAAGCATCCCTGCTTGGGGCCACCAACCTCTGTGCCCAGCCACAGGAAGAGGCAAGTCCTTGCTGCCTCTCCCAGCAGCCTTCATGTCTGGGATTTGGCACTGGGGACCCTTCGGGAGGAGGAGGCAGACCAGGACAGGCTGAGTTCAGCTCCATCTGTCTCTGGCTTCTGTTTGGCATCTTGGCTGTGCTGTAGGAGCCCTCTGCAGTTCTCTGCTTCTCTCAGCAGCTGCTCAACAGGAGACAGGAAAATTGCTCTCCCTGCGGTGGACTGGTCTAGGGAGGAGGCGTCCCCAGGAATCCATAGGAGGGAAGGAGTCCAGGGTGGCCAAGACCGAAAGACAAAAATGCACCAAGGCCCAGCCAAACCTGGCAGGCATTTGAATCTCCAAATGGAGTCTTGTCTTCCTTTCTTTTCCACTCAGGCTGAGATATTAGCCCAGATAAACTCAACAGGAAAATCATAATCCGGCAAGTCATGGCCATTCTTGTCAATTCTCTTAAAGGTTAATCTGCTTTTCTCCATATTAATGAAGGGCCTCGGAAATGCAGCCGGGCCTCTCCCGTGTTTTGGTAGATTTGGGCTAATGGGCTATTTTATTTCCATGGTAACAGCTTCCAGTGTTACAGGAAGATAATTTTCCAGACAAAAGATTTGTGGGCCTTATTATTCTGCAGGGATCTGACTGTGAAGGCTGGGAAAGTGGGTTCAAGGGCTACCCAGGATTGCAAATTCAACCCATTCTGGGGCACCTGTTTGCCTCTGGTTTCTGGGTCTGGAAGCTTGTTAGGTGCCATGTATTGTAGGAAATTGGCAGGAACTGAATAGGAAACTGGCAGGGACTGAATAAAGACATTCTTTGAACGACAATGTCCTAAATTCATTCTCATATCAGGCAATAAGGTTGGAATGAGAAGTGGCTTGTATTATAGTAATCGCTGGCACAACAGGGGCCTGTGCCCTGTGGGGCGAGCCAGGAGCTGTCCTTATAGTGAGGGTCACCCCAAGAAGTGCCTCTAAGCAGAGCCATTGCCCTCCACACCTCCCAGTCTCGGGGCAGACTGGCAGCATTCTCCCCTAAAGGCATTCGGCACCCAGTTCAGCAACTGCCAGGTACCAGGCTAGTTAGAGGAAGACAAAAGATGAACAAAATCGGCACGGCCCCCACTGTGAAGGAGCTTAGAGTTTAGTGGTGTGTCAGGGGATGGGTAGGTTAAAATAAAATAGGGTCAAGAAAACAGGCAATGGCTATACTTTCTGATATGTGTTACCACTGGAACATCTCGGGTGCCGGGGGCACAGGGAGGTCAGGAAAGACACAGAGGGAAAGAGCTCTTTGAGGAAGACTTTGAGAACAATGTAGAAGCAAAAGCTTTGCAAGCGTTGACTAAATGACTCGTATGAACAAGCACGATTCTTGGTCCTGGCGGTCCAAACATAGATAAAGCCAGACGGAGTCCCTATTTACACCCTGGAAGGGTAAAGAGACAATAATCAATCCTGAAATCTAAGGTTGCAGTTGAGAGTAGTACCCCAAGGGGAAGTTATTAATGCAAACAGATGCAATGAGATGGAAATTGACCAAGACAGGACTCTCCCATATGATTGGGCAGGCTGTACATTGCATAACTCTAGGGGGAGCCAGTCACATCTTAGACATTATAAATTTGAATATTTATTATGACAATTTTCTGGAATGTGGCATCCAAAATGTCTTAAGAAAGAGACGCCATTCCTTAAATTGCACAAAATTAATTATATGGCCTAGTAGAGCTCCTGCCAGGGAGAAAATGAAAATCTTCCCCAAGTAAGGGACAAGCTCTAGGATCTGAAGTGTGGGTAGGAGCTCAGAGGGTAAAGAGACAGAAGAAAGGATGTCCTGGATGCCAGAAACAGTAGGTGCTTATTGAGGTCACTGTATCCCAGAGACTGAAAAGCAGCCAGGGAAGCTGCAGCAAGTATAGAATGGGGAGCACGGTGCACGATGAGGCTGGAGAAGGTGGCAGGAGCTGGCTCGCACAGGGCTAAGTCAGCATTTCACCTCCCGACTTAGAGTTTCCAGTGGCACTGGACACCTGGGGCCCCTGGACCTCTGGACAGGAATAAGCGGATAAATTAGATGTAGCCATGAGAAGGAGGCTTTGGTTAGTTATGGAAACAAGGCAAAATTGGTGGCCCAAAGTCAGACTAATGATTATGAGAGTCTGGTCTGTGAATCACCCACATTAGAAGCCCCTAGGATGTATGTTGCAAATGCAGCCTCCTGAGTCCCCTGCAAGACCTACCACAGCTGACTCCCTGGGCAAGGACAGGAATCTGCATTTTACCATATGTGCCATGTAAGGTTGTTGCAACCCAAGTTTCAGAATGGCTGGGTTATGCTATGTCCATTCAAGTACATTCTGATCCTTACTCTTCCCTTGCTAGCTATGAGACTTTAGGCAAGTTCAAGGCTTTCCTTGGATTTGTTTTTTTATTGATCTGGTGAGTTCCATAATATCTGCCCTGCAACCACTTTTTTTTTTTTTTTTTTTTTTTTGAAATAGGGTCTCGCGCTGTTGCCCAGGCTAAGTGCAGTGGTGTGATCTCAGCTCACTGCAGCCTCAAACTCCTGGGCTCAAGTTATCCTCCCACTTCAGCCTTCCGAGTAGCTGGGACTACAGGCATGTGCTACCATGCCCAGTTAATTCTTTTTTTGTTTGTAGGGATGGGCTTTTGCCAGATCACCCAGCCTGTGCCCTTTCTTATGAGAGGTTGATTTGTGCTGTTTGTTTCTTTGTTTGTTTGTTTGTTTTGAAAAGGAGTCTTACTCTGTCATCCAGGCTGGAGTGCAGTGGTACAATCTCGGCTCACTCCAACCTCTGCCTCCTGGGTTCACATGATTCTCTTGCCTCAGCCTCCTGAGTAGCTGGGATAACGGGCATGTGCCAGGACACCCGGCTAATTTTTTTTTGTAATTTTAGTAGAGATGAGGTTTCTCATGTTGGCCTGGCTCAAACTCCTGACCTCAAGTGATCCACCCACCTCGGCCTCCCAAAGTGCTGGGATTACAGGCATGAGCCACTGCGTCTGGCCCAATGATTTGTTCATTCTTGCCCAGTGTTCCTTGAGGAATGACTCTGTCAAGGAGCAAAGAAGTTTCATCTTATATGTCACATCCACTTCCTTAGGAGTGGCTGCCAAAACTGTATACAGCAGTCCCCTGCTTATGCTCTGTTTCACTTACCTGCAGTCAACTAGTCTGAAAAAATTCAATGGAAAATATCAGAATGAAATAATTCATAAGTTTTCAATTGCATGCCATTCTGAGTAATGTGATGAAATCTCATGCTGCTCCTCCCCCACCCTGTCCCACCTGGGACCTGAATCCTCCCTTTGCCCAGCGTATCCACACTGTATATACTACTGGCCCACTAGTCATTTAGGAGTATCTCAGTTATCAGGTCAACTGTCATGCGTAACAGTGCTTGTGTTCAAGGACCCCTTACTTTACTCAGTAATGGCCCCGAAGTGCAGGAATAGTGATGCCGGTGATTCAGATTGTCAAAGAGAAACCATAAAGTGCTTCCTTTAAGTGAAATGGTGAACGTTCTCAATTTGTGGAAAGAAAAAAAGAATCCTCTTCTGAGGTTGCTAAGATCTATGGTAAGAATGAATTTTCTCTCCATGAAATTGTGAAGAAGGGAAAGGAAATTATTGCAAAGTATATACACAGTTCCATACATCCACTGGGGGTCCAGGCACCCACTGGGGGTCTGGGAACATATTTCTAGTGCATATGGGGGACTACTGCATTGACTGACTACAGATGTCTGTCACAGGGATTGAATAGGAGGTGGTGAAACATCAAGTCTCCAGCTAGATATATCTTAGATGAGAAGTCAGCCCTCAGAGCAGCCTTCTAGACCACCTGAAGTAGCACCTCCCTCCGTATCTCCATGTCATTTCCATCACAGCCTTTATTACAGCCTGTAGCCCTCTTATGTATTTGCTCACTTCTTTCTTTCTCTGGTCTTTTTCACCTTGCTAACTATAAGCTCCGTGAAGGGAGGGCTGTGTCTCTTTGATTCACCACTGTCTCCCGCACTCTACACACAAAGTAGGTGTCCATTAAGCACGTATTGAATGCATGAATAAAGGCATCAGGGCCTTCCCATCCCTGAACTCAATGCATGGCAACATGCAAAGCACAGAAGATACAGGCCACTTGGCAAAGACCAACATGCAATTAGGGAGATAAGACCTACCCAGAAGGAGGAATCAAACTCGAGCCAAATGAAAGAAGCAAAAACACATAAAGAGAAAAGGAAGGAAGGACAGAAGGAAGGGAGGGAGGGAAGGACAGAGGGAGGGAGGGAGGGAAGGACAGAGGGAGGGAGGGAGGGGAGGGGAAGGGAATAGAATCAATTCCTTCAACCAGATTTTTGCAAAGTTATAATGAAGTGATCGATGTCAGCTTTCTCTGATTGGTTGAAATGTTACCATTCAACCAATTGTGTTACCAATTAACACCAAGTTACCATCTTCTGTTAGCACTGGGGGAAATTGGGGAAACATGGGTCTCTCTGTATTGCTTCTTAGAATTTGAGGTGAAACTAAGTATCCCAAAATTTAAAAGATTTTTAGAAAAAAAAAAAATTCCACAACTTTCAATGTAGTTGAAAGTTGGAAGCTGAACCAAAGTGCACTTGAGCCCCACAGATTCCATTCCTTGTCTCACCCCTTCCCCCGCCACAATGTGACCAAATTGTTTACAGTCCATTCTCCCAGAGGCTCCTGCCATCTCTTGTAAACCGCATAATCTGTTACAGACTGTAGCTCCAGCAAAGATTTCTGGAAGACATCACTGTAATTTTGAGTGTCCAATGTGGGCGTGAAGCCAGTTTTCTAGCTTCCAGCCTGTCCAAATCTGAGGATATTACAGCGTTCAAATGGCAGCCTGTGGACTCACATTTCAAGGAGACTGTTTCTCTTGCATCCTGGACTTCCACCAAGGAAGGGTTCACATCCTTGATTCTAATCACTTGGTCCTCGCCAGGCTTCCTTGCTGGAACATAAGCACCACGAAGACAGAAATACTAGTGGGTTCCCTGCTGTTGCACTTGGTCCACAGTGCCTATCACATCAGTGTCCCCATAGTGGCCATTCCTACCTGTTCAACATCCATTTGTTGTTCTGCTGATAATAACAACTTGTTTTTTCTTTGGGGAGCCACCCTTGCTGCATTGCAGACAGTCTGGGGGGCAGGGGAAGTTTAATTCAAAGTGCCCTAGTTCCTGCCCTGGCTAAGGGGAAGCAGGAGACCCAAGGCAATCAGAATTGGTAAATGCTAAGCACTAGGTTTTTGCTAAAAATATTTTAAAAGACACACTCTCTCTTTTCCCTACAATTATTGTTCTGATAGGATATCCGCTGGGAGCTACTGAGGACTCCTCATTACCCTCCCTTGGAAGACTTTGCCTGCAATGGAGCCAACACAGTGGAGAGCAGAGCTGAGAAATGAACAGACAACTCCTGATGCATCATTTGAGCGCCTGGATTTACCCACGCCTGAAACTATTATATCCTTGGACTTTTCAACCATGTAAGTTACTATAATTCCTTTTTTGTTAAAGCTAACTTGAGTTGGGTCTCTATCACTTGCCATCAACAATTGACCAGGTACTTAGTACATAAAGAAAGAGTGAATGAACAAATTCAATTCTGTAAGTATTTATCATCTCCTGTATGACAGGTACTGTTTTAAGTCCCAGCGAAAGAGGCAGAGGATCGGCAGAAATGACGGCCTCCCTTGAGAGCCAAGCCTGTGGCCTGACAACCTAGAATTTGGGTCAATCCATCCAATTATGGTGGCTGCTTAGAAATATCCCTTTTCCTCCCAACCTTTTCCCATAAACATAATTATGGCTCCTGCCAGTGCTAAGGCATGGCCCATGGACCCACTAAAACCCATGGTCACGTTAGCTCCTAAGGCCTGGTGGCTTGGTTCTATCTGGTTATCAGATGCAAACTTCATCACAGCAGGGATTTGGGCTAGACATTAGATGAATACTGTGGTACCAGATGGTGTTTCTGAAGAAGGTTGTCCTATTTTTGCAGTTTAAGGATTTGATAATAAATCTGCCTGGCAGGCCTCAGATGTGATTTGGCCTCGAAATCGTCTCTGCTAATCCTTGATGCTGTGTGTATCTGTCAAGGTCCAACCAGGAAAAACAGAACCTGCTCTAAGTATCTGAACAAAGGGAATTTAATGCAAGGAGCTGATTGCACAGATGAAGGAAGGGACTGGGAGGCAAACAACAGGGAACTGAGGTAACCCAGGGATTTGCCTTAGTAGGAAGATAGGACCACTACCAGGCTAGAGAGGCAAAAAGAAAAAAGAGGCGTTGTTACTTGTATTCAGGAGCTAGAGTCATCCAGTGGAGGCTGAAGCCAAGGTAGGTCTGTGTGGTAGAAGCTGGTGCCAAGGAAGATATACCATGGCTGCAAGAAAAGCTGCCAGAGACAGAAAGTGTGGAGGAGAAAGGTTCTTCTTTTTCCCTTCCTCCCACCTCTCAATCGCACAGCAGAGATTGCCCTTGGCCACATCCAACTGAGCACCTCCCATTGGCCAAACCCAACCCAGCACTTCCCATTGGCCACTCCCAACTCAGCACCTCCCATTGGTCACACCCAACCCATTACTTTCCATTGGCAACACCCAACCCAGCACCTCCCATTGGTCACACCCAACCCAGCACTTCCCATTAGCCACACCCAACCCAGTACCTCCCATTGGTCACACCCAACTTAGCAACTCCCAATGGACACATACAACTCAGCGTCTGCCATTGGTCACCCAACCAGGAGCCATAAACCAGGGATCCTCAGAAGCAAAGCCTGCAAGAGTCAGCTTATTGGGATACAGAGCAGAGCAGGGGTGCATGGGCATGGATCAGACTTGGGAATGGATCATAGATACCAGAACTGTACACTGCTGTTCCCCAGAAGCTGCCATCTCTGGGTTCCCACATGCAGCACATTGCATCTCACCTGAGAGGAAATAGCCCTTTGAGATCCAAAGATGCTATCACTGAGCCTCAATCAGAAATTAGGATCAAGTTCCAAGACATTTAACACTCTGCTGGTGGTGCGAGTGTAAAATGGCACAACCGCTTTTGAAAACTATTTAGCAGTTTCTGATCAATTAAACATACATCCATCCTAAGACCCAGCAATTCCACTCTTAGATATTTTCTCAAGAGCAATAAAAACATTGCACAAAAAGAATTATATAAGAATGTGTACAGCATTTTTTTATATAACAGCCAAAATTGGGAACAATTTAAATGTCCGTCCTCTGAGAAGTGGATAAACAAAATTATGGCAGACTCATAAAATGGAATACTACTCAGCAATTGAAAGGAGCATGCTACTTCTACACACAGCAATGTGAGTGAATCTCAAAAAGATTACAAGAAGCCAGACGTAGGAGTACATACTATCTCATTCTATTTAAGTAGAATCCAAGAAGACATAAAAATCTAATCTACAGTGAGAGAAATCATAGTGGTTCTTAGTATGGCGGTTGGAGATTGACTAAAAAGGGAAATCAGGGAACTTTCAGCTGTGAAGCAAATGTTCTGTATCTTATTTTGGCTGGTGGTTACCCAGGTGTATTCAATTATCAATACTCATTCAACTAAAAACCTAAGCTTTGTGCATGTTAGTGTGTGTTCTTTATTTGTTGTAGGGGACTGGAATATGCCACCCAAATATATGCCTCTTTGGCATAAGGATTATTTTGAAAATGAAGTAGAAGTTATCTTTTTGTAAGGGAAATTTGCATCTATAAAGGAAATTTCCATTTGTGATGTCTCTCACTCTGTACCAGAAAAAGGATGACTAAATCTCAAGAAACTTTTTTTTTTTTCTTGAGACAGCATTTCACTCTGTCGCCCAGGCTGGAGTGCTGTACAGTCACAGCTCAATGCAGCCTCAACCTCCTGAGCTCAAGAGATCCTCCCACCTCAACCTCCTGGGTAGCTAGAACTACAGGTGCATACCACAGTATTTGGGTAATTTTGTTCATTTTTTGTAGAGATGGGTGTCTCAGTGGGTTGCCCAGCCTGGTTTGTCTCAAACTCCTGGGTTCAAGCCATCCGTCTGCCTCAGCCTTCCAAAGTGCTGGGATTACAGGCATGAGCCACTGCGCCTGGCCAAGAAGCTCTTGTCAGTGGAGAAGAACCAACTTAAATTCTGCAAAACAAAACTTCTTTTTTTTTTTTTTTTTTTTTTTGAGACGGAGTTTCACTCTTGTTACCCAGGCTGGAGTGCAATGGCGCAATCTCGGCTCACCGCAACCTCCGCCTCTTGGGTTCAGGCAATTCTCCTGCCTCAGCCTCCTGAGTTGCTGGGATTACAGGCACGCGCCACCATGCCCAGCTAATTTTTTGTATTTTTAGTAGAGACGGGGTTTCACCATGTTGACCAGGATGGTCTCGATCTCTTGACCTCGTGGTCCACCCGCCTTGGCCTCCCAAAGTGCTGGGATTACAGGCGTGAGCCACCGCGCCCGGCCCAAAACTTCTTTTTTATCATGCATTTCCTGGTCACCCTCCCCATAACTTGCCTCCCCAACACCCTTTTTTCCTTGTTTTAGTTAAAGATGGTATGTAAGGCAGTGTTCTAGGCCACTTCTTTGAGAGTTACTTGTTTTTTTTCCAGGGTATTTCCCATGTGTTCATGTTTTAACATTTGTAAATGTTAAAACACTCTGTGGTTTTACTCTTGTTAATCTGTCTTTTATTACAGGGGCTCCCAGCTGAGAGCTTAGAAAATTAGAGGGGAAATTATTTTTTACTCCCCTACAATGTCAGTTAGTTGTAATGATACAAAACCTACAAAAAAGAACCCATTTTCAAGGTAAAGGACAAATTTCCTAATTCTCTACTTGGCCTGCACTATCAAGAAGACAACATTATTACATCCTGGTAGATTTCTTACTGCATGTTTCTACACGGTGGGAAACTACCCACAAGCAGGTAGAAGGCACTCAGTTTTTTAGGCTAATTCATGTGACATAGACCAGGAGTGACACACAACCCTAATGTCCCCACCACCCCCATGATTCATGGACATGGGACAAACTCAGCAGAAGTGGTTGATGGATGTTTTACATTAAACTAAGTGGCCATAAATATTTAGTCACGTGACCAGTACAACTATATCACCTACCACTGTGTATTCTTTTTGGAAATGGTGCCCTTCTGGCTTCATCCAGATGCCAACTAAGAGCGTTGGAAAAGATACTAGGGCAAGAAATGTAACACTCATTCTGCAAATGTTGCTTCACCAGCATTCACTTCCAGTTTTCCTCCTCCTCCCCCACCCCCAGTTTCTATTTAGGGCTCTGTGTAATTCTAGGGAAGCAAACTCTCCCCACCCCTGCCTCCCATCCTGCCAGCTCTAGGTTTGTAGCACCTGACTCAGACTAGGCCAATCACTGACTTTCATCCCACCACACCACCTCCCACCAGAGAGATGGGGTGAAGGTAGATGTGTGAACTAAACAGGCCTCATCATACTGAATCACAGTGCTTTGGCTTACAAAGACTGTCTCTTCCTCAGGATAGCCGTAGCTTGGAAGTGTAAGGCCTAGAACGACTGTAGCCATTTTTGCTTCTATGAGTTGAGACATGGCTAAGACACAGCGGAAAGGGGCATTGAGAGAACTCTAGAGAAATGAAGCTTAGCCCTGCATACATTATGATAATAAATCTGAAATCTGTCCTCTCTCTCCACTTTTTGATTACATGAGCCAATAAACCTTCCATGTTGTTTAGTTTGACTTGGGTTTTGTATTTGCAGCCAACAGCATCATAACTATTGGGTGATAACCAGAATGCTAGGCTCATTTGTGCGCAGCGCATAGTCTGTGAAAAAGGATGAGACTAGGAATCAGAAGGCCTGAGTCCTGGTGCTGGCTGGGTCATAACTGAGCTGCCTGACCCTGGGCAAGTCATTTCACCTGGCAGAATCTCAGTTTACCCCTCTGCAGAATGAGGCAATCAGACAAGCAGGGTCTCTGAGTTCTGTTGCATTAATAGCAATGAAAGCAATGATAATGGTAACAAAATAATAATTTATGTGCCTGATGCTGTCCTAATGGCATTAGATCCATGATTTCATTTGATTCTTGCATTACTCAGGGTTAAATGGAGAAAGCAGAACCACTGTGAATATTATGTGATAGAGCTGTGGTTTAAGAAGACCTTATACAATTGTGGGAGAAGCTGAGAACCAGGGGACAAAAGGGAAAGTAGGAGGATCTGAGTAAAGCCACCAACCAGTCCTCCTGAATCATTCGTGTAAGTGAGGAAGTAGGAGTGGAGTTTGCCAGCGAGTACAGGAGGGAAGGCACGTCCTGCGGCTATGGTGGGACAGCGAAGGGGAACCCAGTGCGGCAGTCTGCAGAAGACTCGTGTCTCAGAGAATGGTGGGGGGCCTAGGGTTGATAACAAACCTGGCAGTTGGAAAGAAGTGGCATGGGAAAAAGTAAAGATAAGCTAGAATCTGCTTCTACCTATGTATCTGTCCCTTACTGTATCCATGCATAATGATCTTCAGAGAGTAATGGCTGTTGATTAACTTTTACCTTCCAAACTTCATGCAAATTTTTTTTTTGAGACGGAGTCTCACTCTGTTGCCCAGGCTGGAATACAATGGCGTGATCTTGGCTCACCACAGCCTCTGCCTCCCGGGTTCAAGCGATTCTCCTGCCTCAGCCTCCTGAGTAGCTGGGATTACAGGCATGTGCCACCACACCCAGCTAATTTTATATTTTTAGTAGAGACAGAGTTTCTCCATGTTGGTCAGGCTGGTCTCGAACTCCTGACCTCAGGTGATCCACCCACTTCAGCCTCCCAAAGTGCTGGGATTACAGGCGTGAGACACCTCACCTGGCCAAAAAAATTTTTTTTCTTTTGGTCAACTCAACCTAGACATATTAATTCACAGGGAAGACAATTTGGGGAAGTATAGTTCAAGCTTGGCCAAGCTGACAATGCAGGCCAAGAAATCTCTGAGAGAAATAGAATAGTTCCCAACATTTAGAGAAGCTAAATAACTTGCTCAAAATTATCCATCTGGTGAGTACTAGAATCAGGACTAAGAATC